GCAACAAATAAGTTTCATAGTTTCATAGGAAACTGAAATTTGCCAAACTTTTCACATCATTTTCGGGGAAAGTTTGGCTTAAATTTTAAATATTTGGTGCAACAAAAATGCCGAAATGTTTATCTCGATTGAAAAATAGAGACAGAATAGAGAACTGATTTGGTTGAATGAAAATTCATTAATCATTTCGGTTGGGTCGGTTTTAATCACTGGAATTGGATACCCAACTACTGACATTAAAAATTCAAAGTGCATCAGAAAATATGTTTGAAGTAAAACATGAAACAAATTTAGTAAAATTTGCTAAATAAAACTGTTTTGTGAGTAAACTTTTATTTAAAGACAAAAAATTTTGTATTTGAAAATTGTAGTTTTTAAAACTGCTATTTTACATTAGTTATAGAGTGTAATTTCTGTGTTTTTATTGTTAAATTACAATTTTTTAAATAAATAAAAAATTAATGTTATGCAACTAACGTTACACATGTGCACACTTTACAATCTGATTCGTTTACTTTTTACACTCGATTTTGAATAATATTGACATATGCATTTTAAAAAGTTATTTTTACAGACTACTTTGTTAACTTTATAGTATAAAAAAAAAATTCTAATTATTACTACATTATTTTTAGTTTTTTTTAATTTTACTTTAGTATTGCTAATTATTTTAAAATTTCTCCACAAGATGTCTCTAGTGATGCCAGATTATAAAATTTTACTGTAGTTCCAGAAATTTTTTTAACAAAAGGGAAAAAAGAGGTTTTTTAAAAATTTTTTCAATAATCTAGGGATTTTTTAATTTTCAATAAATATTTCAGTCAAACTTTTAAAATTAATGAATTCTCACAATTTACATAAAAACATATATCGAACTGCAAAAGGCAGTTGTAGAGACTAAAAAACTCAAAAAATAAATAAATTATAAAATATATATTAGAAATTAAATTTAAAGACAGTTAAAAAACGAAAAAGCTATATTTAAAAAAAAGTTTCTAGTGGTGCCAGATTAGAGAATTTTACTCTAGTTCTAGTAATTTTTTAACAAAATCGAGAAAAATAGGAGTTTTTAAAATTTCCCACTAATCTAGGGATTTTTTAATATTCAATTAATATTTCAGTGAAACTCTTAAAATTAATAAAATCACACAATTTATATAAATAAAAATTAATTATCTGTTCACGTTATAACTGAATTTGTTTTAATTTATTATTATTTTTTTATTTATTATTATTTATTTACTAAGATCGGCACTAAAGTAGCTTATTATACTACTCAAATAAATAAGCTTTTCCGTGTTGTTTTTGCCTATATATTTTTTGCAAAAAATTCGATTTAAGAAAAAAAATTAATATGCACCTCGGCATTATCATTTTTCGTTTCTCTTGTATTTTATTCCTAATGAAAAATAAGACTTAATACACAAAACAATATTTTATTCTTATATTGTTTATTTTATTGATTTTTTGTTGTTTTTTGTTAAACCATTTTTATGTCGTAACCTTAATGAAAAAGTGTTTTTTTATGATGTTCATGTAATTCTAGGGAATTTTGACGCTATAATCTAGGGACAAGCATTTGACCTCATCTGTCATTACTGGACGTACCCATTAAGGGCCATAATCGTATTTAAAGAAGTTATAAATTATATGTTGTTTAGAATGTGGTGATTTCCACGGACTCCTTGAAAAAAATTTCACATTCTAAACCAACATTAACTTTAAAATACCTTTAATTCGATTATGAAACTGGCCCTAAGGGCAGATGCTAATTGAATAACGCAAAACTTAATGTAAAAATTACGTTTTTGTGAAAAACTTTAAAAAAGACAAATTCCAGGGTTACTTTTTTAACCCTATTTTTTGATTTGACTTAACCTCATTCACGGGGGAATCACCAATATTTTTTTTTATATTTACAGTAAATCAATTACAGCTGTGATTCTAGATACTTTCTACTTTTTAACTTTATGTCGAGTAACATACAGAGTGCCCTTTTATGTTCCTTTTTTATATTTCATAAATAGGCAACCAATAAAACAATAATTTGAGTTTTTTCTACTGTCACTTAAAAATTACGATTTAGTATCTGATAAATTTGTAAACGACATTATTTTTGTACATTGTATTTATTTTGTAAAGTTTTCATAAAATCGTGTTTATTAAAAATTCAGATACAAAATATCTTTCTAAATGTTATGCAACCAACATTACGTACGTGCACACTTTACGTCAAATAATTTTTTTTTGTAATTTACTTTTCGTGAACATTTTTTTTGTGTCGTATTTCTTTTGACGGGTTCATAAAAACACAAATCAATCGCTGAATCGTGATTATTAAAAATACAGATACAAAGTATCTTTCTGTAACAATTGCTTGCAAACATTCTCCTTTCCTCAAACTCGAGAAAATTCAAACTTTCTTAACGATTTGAACAACATCCTCGTCACAAAGAATATGATCCAATCCGACTTTTTGCGGCTGATGCTTCACTGAAGACCCCCAAACCAAGGCACTGAAAATTTTCATTTTGTAATTTCAAACAAAACAACCAAAAACTTACTATTTAAACTCTTTCGCGATACTCCTATGTAATTTATTGCAAAAGTCTTGAATAGAGGTGTGCTCTGAGTGTAAAACCACCGGCGAATTGTAATCCGGGAGTTGACCTTTGGGTTTCGTGTAACTAAAATGAAAGATTGAGTAATTGAGGAAAAACTGAGGAGAAAAATTACATCCTAACTAATTTGAGGTACTCCCACATTTTCTCAAGCAAATCGTCGAAGTTCCATCTGTGGTGGGCCGAAATGGGGACACAATGAGGGATTTTGTAGATAATATCCAGCTCCTCAATACTAATTTGATCTAAAATTATTGCATTAAAACACCTCAAAAACGGGGTAATCCCCGAAAATACCTATTTTGTTGAGTATATAAATACAAGGGACGTAAATTCGGTTCCCCTCAATGACATCAATTAAATCATCACTGGTGGCGTCATATTTGAGAGTGACATCAGCATTGTGTATTTTATATTCGGACAAAATCGACTTAACTGTGTCTGAATCAAGCTCAGATTGGGGCACCATACAGTTCAAATTAATCCCCCCTTTATCCTTCTTTTTGAAATAGATATTGGGGGGCTGTTTATTCAGCCTCAAGCCAAACCCCTCCAACTCATGCTCGATCAATTTTTTATGGTGCAAAGGCTTCAAGACATCCAAACAGAGAAAAATCAACGAACAGGTCCGCGCCACGGCTATCACCTGCCGGCCTCGCCCCTTCCCGTCCTTCGCCCCCTCGATGATCCCCGGCAAGTCCAGCAGCTGGATTTTAGCCCCCTTGTACTTGATACAGCCGGGGACTGTCGTAAGTGTGGTGAACTCGTAAGCGGCGACTTCGGAGTAAACCCCCGCTAGATTACTAAGCAGTGTTGATTTACCCACCGAGGGGAACCCCACGAACCCCACGCGAGCGTCCCCGGTTTTGGCCACGTCGAAGCCCTCGCCGGTCCCGCCACCGCCCCCTTTGGGGGTGATCAGCTCACGGCGCAGTTTGGCCAAGCGGGCCTTGAGGAGGCCCAAATGGCCCGCAGTTGCCTTGTTTTTCTGAGTCCGGGCCATCTGGAAAGTGAGGTTAGGAATCGGGGTTCTCCATTTATTTCAAATCTACTTACTTCCGCCTCAATTGCGGCGATTTTTTCCAAAATTGTGCTCATTTTTTTCTATTATTGAACGTTTCCAACTCGGGTTTTGACTTTTTTGGTAATAAAAAACACGTTGCTTGCTTGTAATTTTGACAGACAAAAAGGCGGCAATTTTGAATCTCAATCTAGTTCTTTTTATACAGGGTGATTCGAAAAGGTTGGACAAGCTTTAACACGGTGGTAGAAAACGTTATTAGAAGCTCAGATTTGCTTTTATAATTTTTCTACAACCGTGATTTTGAAAATATAAGTGTTTAAAGAGGGCACAAATTGGCAACGCTGCAGTGAGACTGCACTCTATAATATGAAACGTTTGTTACTATAGAAACCAACTGTTGCCAACTTTAAGCGTTTTACTTATTCTTATTAATGTTTTATCTGAAAAAATTAATACTAAACTTGCATTTTTGAAGTTGGTTGATACAACATTTTATTCTGCACAGTAACAAATTCTTTATTAACTTAAGAGTAGTTTGCTATTTAGGGAAAAAAGTTTGCTCTTTTTTCATTAGAACCTACAGAATTTAAAAATTTTTGCATTAAATATTGCTTATTGCTATATTCGTCGTTAAACGAATTATAAGACTCAAAATAGTGTCCTCTTGACATCTGTGAGTTGGGCAATTCCGAATTTGCACTAATATTAGTATCTCTTTCTAGATAAGATAAAGATAAAGGACTACTATCATAATAAACTTTTGATCTATCAATATCAAAATCTTGACTATTTCGAGGATAACTTCTTTGTGATGTTTCAAAAAGATCAAAACTTGGTTCAGGTTGGTAGTGTTGAGGATTATTCCTGTAGTCAAATGGGTCATATTCCTTATCCATAGTTCTCCTAATGTAGCCATAACTATCAAAATTATCAATATTTCCCCTGTGATAAGGTTGAGGAACATCAAAGACATTCCTTCTGTCAGAAAAACTCGGTTTTGAAATATTTAAGTAAGGATCTTGACCAAAATCAAAATATTGATTTCTAACATAAGAATTCATTGGACGTTCTTGATACTCCGTTTGGTAAAAATCATCACCAATTCTTGAAAATTGTGAACAATTTTGAAAATGATTATATGATACAGGTTGTAGAAAACTATCATTGCAATAAGAGCGGTTTTGATCTTGTGGTATTCTTGGTGTATGAAAAAATCGACTTCGACAAATCTGATTCGAGTTGTTTGTATGTTCCTTAAAAGCTCTGAAATCTGAAGGTTTTCTTCGATTTAACATTATGGAATTTTGTGTCGGTTCTTGATACTCAAAAGGATTTATCATCTCTCTCGCATTGACTTCAAAAAAACTTTCTTTAACAAAACTATTCGATATATCACTTTCCACCAATCCATAATCATGTTCCATTAAAAGTGATTCAAATGAATCGTTAAATGGGTTTTCAAATGCGTTTCCCTTTTTTGTTTTTCCCCCAGTTTCAGTCTCATATTGGGAAAAATTCTTTCTTTCCCTTTCCAAATTGTTAGAAGTTGGTGTATCCTGCACATTATTAAGTGTCAAAGAAAAATCAACATCTGATTTAGGACCACGATTAATCTCTTCAGAATAACAATTTTGGTTGGCAACTCTTTTCACCAATTTTGGTTTTTCAAAAATTTGACTTTTCTCTTCAGCTGTATAAAAACTCTCATTCCCTGTTGTACTATCACTCTTCACTTTTCTATCAGATTGTGACAAAAGTTGATGATAATATTCATTAGGTGATTTAATTTCACTCAACTTATTTTGTCGTTCTCTTGGTGATATAAGTCCAAAACTTTCCAAAAACGAAATGGACGCAATATCACCAACTTTTTCCAAAATATCATTTCGTTTGTTATTTTCATCAGCATAAGCTTTGTCAGTAAGTGGAAATTCAACTTTTCCTCTTGACAAACTTAATTTTGGTCTAGAATTGAAAAAATTCGACTTGTTTTGACTTTTGTTCGATATTGTTTCGTTATGAAAATCATTCAACTGATTCAGAGATGAAGATGAAGCACGACTGGTCGACAAACTGAAAAAAATAATACAAAAACATACAGGGTGTTTTCTTAATATTGCAAAATTGCAACCACATAACGATTTTTAATTTTGATCATTACCATTCATTCTCTCCATTGGTCACATTCAACCGGTTATAACCGATTTTCGGCGAGAACTTAACTGGAGGGGAGTACGTCAAAGGCGACCTCCATGTTATTTTAGTACCACTTTTAGGCCTATCTTCCATGTTTAATTTTTTTACAGGAGGTTCATCGCTCCAAGAAAATTCTTTCTGATGAGTTAACTTTCTAGGGGTGTATTGAAACTTTCTCACTATAGGTTGGTCACACTGATATTTTATTAGTTTTAGTAATTTTTTATTAATTGAATTAATACTTGCCTCATAGTTTGTCACAAACGAATTGTTGACTTTTTCTTTGTTACCCTGAAGCTAATGTCAAATTGACATAATAAAAATAATAAAACACTTACGTTATAACTGAAACTAGCGTCACGTGACGGTGAAATATCATATTTTGAAGAGATAAAAATTGAGTTTTTAATTTTTTCACCACTGGTATTTTTGAGTTTGTTTTCGATGTTTAATTTTTTGGCTGGAGTCTCATCACTCCGAAAAAATTCTTTATAAGACATTTTTCTAGGTGTGTTTTGAAACTTCCTCACTATAGATTTGTCATTTTCACACTGTCATTTAATTAGTTTCAGTATTAGTTTTATTAACTGAATCAATACTTACCTCATACGAATTGTTGACTTTTGATTCACTCACTGGTTTGTTACCCTGAAACAAATGTCAAAATTGACAAAAAAATTAATAAAACACTTACGTTATAACTGAAACTAGTGTCACGTGACGGTGAAAGGTCATACTTTGATTTTGACGAGTCAAAAAGTGAGTTGACAATTTTTTCTTCACTTTTTGCATTCTTAGTGTTAAAAGTTATGTCACTATGAATAATAATCTTGTTGGATTTTTTATTTTCATGAAGTTTCATCTCGTTCTAAAAATACGCAAACGTCACACGTGTTGCACACTATACTTTTTCTACAACTGCATGAAAAATTGTGTCAAATAAATGATTTTCAAGTGTAGTTCGTTTTTTTTTGGAGCAGTCGTAGAAAAAACACACTTACCGGTGTTGGTGGTGTTAATTTTTTTTTACACTTCATATACATATCCATAAATGTTTGCATATAGGTCGAATTTTCGTTTCGTTTCGATGTTTTAGGTTCAGGATTTTTGACTTTTGGTGCTGTTTCATATTTTGCAGTACAATCAATACCCACTAAAACATTCAGGTAATTCACATGGGTATTAATACAGGGTGAATATAAAGTTGGAACCAAGCGGTTTTTTTGAAATCATTTGTCTTCAGAAAATAATAATTAATATAAATTAACGTAATATAAAAAATAAGATCGTTTTTTGAGAACGAAATTTGTTTTGTTTTTGAATTATGCGATTTTTTTGGTCAAAGCTGCAATTTATGTAAAAAATATGAAGTAGAAAGTTGTAATCCTTAGATCATAACCTTTATGAGAAAAATAGTTTTATAGTGGGTTGCTAATTAAAAAAAATATTTTTTTTGTAGAACTCAAAAACAAAACAAAAAATTTTGAAAGATTTTATTCTTGATAAAACCTCACATCTCTAAAGTACTTTATCGTTCATCAAAAAAATTAATAGTTTGAGTAAAAAACGTTTGGTTCCATACTTTTTGAAAATTACCCCAATCCTCACTGATAAAATGAGCTTCAATGAATTCAAAATTTTTTTCTTGGAAATCCACAAATCTAACAACGTCCGGATTTTCAATAAAATAGGAGTGACTACCAATAAAAATTATACATTTGTTTTCAGAATTTTTTTCACCTACCTGTATTTTTCATAGAGCAAAATATTATTAGAAGAGTCACCAATTAAAAGATACATCAATGAATTGCGATTAACTGTACATTTCGTTTCTAAATGTTGTGCATTTATCAATGAAACAGTTAGTTTGATTTGGGCTTTACTTTGCACTTGTAGTGTCATTTCATATTTTGGTAAATGCTGAATTTGTTCTAAAATTTTATTACCAGTTGGCGGTTTTTTATTAATTATTAATTCAATTTCTCTCGGATCGCATTCTGATATTAATTGAAAGGAAGTTTTGCCAGCATTGACCAAATGAGACGACATTACGTTCCCAATTCCAGGCAACTGTTTACTAACATAAGGCGAATTCTCCCAGAGTTTTACATGAAAGCATTTTGCTAAAATAATTGTGCTAAGCAATGCTTGAAAGCATTTCTCCTTCACTTCCAAATATTCAATCAAACCTAAAATATCATCAACAAGAGTAAATTTAACTAATTTTAGTTACATTTGACAATTCGTTCGCCATTTCGCATGATTTTCAACGTTTCTGAAAGTATGGAATGGTCACAAATGTCCAAACACCCCAGAACTGCTTGAATAATACTGAAAAAAATTTTTCAGCAAAACGTAAACACAGTTGGGTGAATTACCAATTAATTTTCATGTCCAAAGTCTTAATTTTGCCGTTAAGTGGAAACCGAATTGTTTGTCTATTGCGACATTTGTTCAACAAATTCAGACATTTTTTATCGTTGACTCGCAAATACATTTCGGAAAACTCCGAACACTTTGAAATCAAGTTGAGTATTTGTTGCAAAATTTCCCCTCCATTGATCTAAATCCTCGAAATGAAAAGCGAATTTTCCGAATTTTCTTTACCTGAGTGAACAGTTTCATTGTCTCGAAGGCGAGGTAATATTTAGCCATTGCGGCCCCCACTGGAGTCGCCTTGAGGAGGACGTCTTGATCGATTGTTAACATTCCCGCGTTAATTAATTTATTCAGCTCAATTTGACACATCTCTGGAAAAAAAAACATGAAATTGTGGCCCCCACCTAACCAGGTAATTATAACTATTACACACAATTTAATAAATAAAATAACAATTTTATTTAATTTAATTTAATAAATAAAAAGTTTGGAACCAAAAGTACTATAAAAATGTGATCATTTAACAAGAATACATTTTTTCGAAATTTTCTTTTGTTTTTTTTAAACGGCAACTATAAAATCATTTTTCTCATAAAAACTATACTTTAAGGATTACAACTATCTGCTTTATATTTAATTTTTTCAAAAAAATTTTTTCACATAAATTTCAATTTTGACAAAAAAAATCGCAGAACTCAAAAATAAAACAAAATTTCGTTCTGATAATACGATCACATTTTTTATATAACTTTAATTTATATTAATTATCATTTTCTTAAAAATAAAACCACTTGGTTCCATACTTTATATTCACCCTGTATACCTAAAAGTCTCCGGTCTATTGAGGCCGGATCCGAGCTCGGTAGGCCGTAATGTCGCGGATTTTTTTTCGCTCGAATGTAGAGAAATGTTGAAGAAAGCCAACGCAATGCGATTTCAAGGCCTGTGATGGTTTGCAAAACCACCTCAGCGTTCAAATGATCGATTAAATGTCGATGCAAATTCGATTCGATGGGTTCTAAACCGCCGATCATTTTTTCGAACTTTTCCTGAAAAAAAATCGGCGTTACGGTCGGGGAGCACACACAATGCAACATTTATTACAATTATTCAGCGCTTTATTATAATAATTAGATTTAATTCAAAACAGTGATTTTTTGTATTGAAAACGGTTTATTTTTGTACTAAACCTATGTAAAATGTTCAGGGGAGTCCATTGGTGCCAAGAAAATCGCAAAATTCGTGATAGTTTAGCAGTTATTTAATTAATAATTTTGCTATTTTTGTCTTTACCAGCGATTTTCTAAATAACTATTTATCCCAAAATTTTGTTTTTTTTTATAAGATAGGAAATTAAAAGTGCTTTCTATCAAAACTAAACATAAAAGAGTTAAAAATTCAACCAAATGCACTTCTACAGATTCAAGAGACTTAGAACAATGCAAAAAATGTTGTAAAATATTTAAAAATGTGTATAAAAGATTATATAGTTGCGTTAAAAAAAGTCGATTTTCAACAGTTTTTGTTGGTTGTTTCCTAAAAGTGGTCGAACAACTTTTTGTCGCAAAAACGCTTAAAATATAGTTTTCTGGGTGTAAAATTACGCGCTAAACACGATGCAACAAGTTAAAATACTCTACGAAGCATAGCTTTTGAGCTATTGAGTAATAAAATCAAGAATAAGGCTAGAAGTAACAAATTAACAGATTTTTACTTTTTTTATTTTGTAAATTGCAGCAAAACTGTACCTAAATGATATAATACTTTGACCTAGACATACGTAAAATGTTCCGGGGAATCGATTGGAGTCAAAAAAATATTTTTGATTTTATCAGCAATTTTCTGTTTAACGTAGGACAGTTATCTTTTTTTGTAAAATAAAAAATTAAATTTGCTTTCCAACGATACTAAACAAAAAGGACTAGCATCAATAATTCCGAAGTTATTAGCAATAAACCGCTTAGGATACCAAAAATCGCCCAAAATTTCCACAAAAATCGAAAAAATTAAAAACTTCAAAATTGAATCATTTGTATTCCTGAGGGTTCAAGAGACTTAAAAAAGTACAAAAACGTTGTAAAAATGCAAGAATTGAATTAAAACATTGTCACTGTCGGCGGCGGTGGTGGCTCAGCGGCATAAGGTCCCGCTTTCCAGCAGGTAGGTCGTACAAATATCTATCGATTGATGCTAAAGCCAAGTCAATATCTCGCAAAAAAATTGAATTTTTAAACGCCGTTACGGCGAAACTAAAGGAGATAAGTTAAAATGCTCTAAATTATTTAAAGAATATGATTATGTCAATTATTACGACACAAATTATCTTTTGCATTAATTGTGTTTTGACATGGTCATTTCTTCCTACATACTCGTGAGAATGCTACTGCTCACAAATTCTTCTAATATGCATATAATTGGCTTACTCATCTGTGTGAATGATGGTTGCATCGAATTATTAATATTCATTTTAATGAGTTTTGTAATATAGTCAGATTTTTATTCGATGTGAATTCTAAATCGACAAATCTTCCTACGATAATGACTCAATCGAATTGAGAAACACATAAAAGTGACAAATTGTTATTCATAAAAAAAGATAAAAGCAATATAGTCAAAATTTTTGGCAACCATTGTTCTAACAATTTGCAAAACTCTTGATTTTTAATTAAAAAGAGAACAAACAATTTGCTTAAACTGTGTGAAGATTCCATCACACTTTCCTATATGTAAATTCCTCATCCTCTAGAGGAGCACAACCTTGACGACGACTTGAAGGGGGTCTCATATAAAATCGCACCAGTTCTAATTTCACTCAGTCTAGTTTTGGTTTTTCGACTATTACAAAAATGAGATTTTTGCTTGTTATTTGTTTAGTTGCATCGTGTTTTGCAGCCCCCCAACAAGGATATGACGAAGCCCCTGCCCCGGTAAGTCCCCCCAATTGGCACCAAGCTCAAACTTATCAAAATCTTTCAGTACGACTTTAACTACAAAGTGGAGAATCCTCCAACAAACACGTATTTTGGCCAAAACGAAGTCGGGGACATAACCGGGAGGGTGACAGGCTCGTACTATGTATATCTCCCAGATGGGAGACTGATGACAGTTGAGTATGTCAGTGACCAAAATGGCTACGTCCCTAGAATCACATTTTCGCAAAATGGACATCCTGTACATGGCTAAACCACACAATGTAGTATAAGATTATTTATCATTTTTGTACACCGCTTTTGCAATAAATTCTCATTTTTACCTTCTCTTTTGTTGAGGTTAGGATAAGAGCTGTAGCTTCAGTATCATACTGAGGCCGGCCAGCCCGACCAATCATTTGCAAAAGGGCTGTTTCGGTATAATCCCGAAAACCACCATTAGTGTAACATTTCGTTGATTTAATTATAACCAAATGGGCAGGAAGATTTACACCCATTGCTAGGGTACTAGTAGTGACCAAAACGGGAAGTTCATTGTTACGAAATAAGTTTTCAATTGCGCGTCTTGTTTCCGGTAGCATTCCAGCATGATGGTACCCTACACCATGAATCAGGGTTTCCTTGATTTTACCATCAGAAATTTTCGATGCTTCTTCTACTAGACGTTGCTTTTGCTCCGGTTTTAGACTGATTGTCAAATGTTGAAAAATGTGTCTAGCTGTCATTTCGACGATCTTCCTAGTGCTGCAAAAAATCTAAAGAGGGAGTCATTAAATATCTAAAATTTAGTAATTTTACACACAAGTGTCGGTTTTCCGTGTGAATATTGCATCATCAAAGAGTGCAATTTGTAGTTCAAAGTCAAATCGAATTTGAAAGGAGTCGATTTTGGGGGTTCCGAATACCCCATAACGATTTTATTCAACCTAACTGGACGAAAATCGTCTGAAAATTTGAACGATTTAGATGATGTTCCAATCCACTCTGCGATATCCTCGATATTGGCTATAGTTGCAGAAACAGCAATGAAGCGGATTTTATGGTTTAAATCGCTTGTTTTTTGTATTTTAACTGATTCTTCGATGGTTTTCATCCGACAAACCTTGAAACAAACTCAAATTAAAATTTCTTGCGGATTAAGTCATACAATTGTTTCGAGAGTCGATCCTCGACACTCTTCATTGAGCAGATGAACTTCGTCAATCATGAAAAGTTTAACAATCTCGACCAAATCGAGGTTTTCTCGCCATTTGCGTGTGAGACAATCCCATTTTTCCGGAGTTGTGATTATAAGATTGTGGTTTCGGAGACTTTGGAAGTCGATATTTTCACTATCGCCGGTTACAGAAATCGGATTTAGGCCAAAATTTGAGAATTTTTTGTTCCAATCTACTAAGCGCTCCTCACAGAGAGCTTTCATTGGGCAAACTACAACAATTTTCTAAAAGAAAATAATAAAATATAAACAAAACCTACTGTACACAATTTTGAATTTTTCAGAGAAATTGGTTCTCTCACAAGCTATCAAAAGGCGAACTATAGCTAGTTCAAAAATTACCGTTTTTCCTGAACCAGTTGGGGCAGAGACGACTATTGATTGGTCTATAATAATATTTCCGTGGTAATAGTTATTTGTATTACAAGGGAGGAAAGCATTTTCCTCCAGTGTAATACATATAATTTTTCCTACGACCCAACAAGACAAGTTAGGGTGGAAAAACTCACTTTCCGTCAGGGTCGTAGAAAAATATTTTTATGTAGTGTTAAATAAAATTACCTGCGTACAAAACTTCGTCGATTAGTTTTGATTGAATGGGATTAAAACAAGGATATTCTGCAAAAATTTCTTGATAAGGGTGAGGTATTTCTTCAACAGGCCTCAAATCATTAAGACTAAAACTTGTTTACTATTAATTAGTTATAATTATTATACATATAGCCTAATTTCAAGGTCTTACAGTATTTTTTTACTATCAAAACAATTGATTATTAAAAATTCCACACCGTTATTTAAATTATCCTTAAATTGGATGTGCTTTAGAGCAAAACAATTTTAATGATTTATTTGTTATTTAATGTTTGTATTATTTATTACAATGCCAAAATTGAAATAAATTAAATGTCTAATCTTTCTAGTGACAGGTGACGGAACATAAAATGACACCAGCCGCCTAAATTTTAATGACGTAAAAAACACCCATTTCTAGTCTACGCCTATGTTTTATGACGTCACAAACGCCTGATTAAATTTAATTAAATCAAAAGTAAGGGTAAATTAATGAAAATTAGTTATGTAAGTAATTATTTTTATCAATTTTTGGCAAAAATGCGAAAAACTTACCACCTCCCGTTGTCAAAATTCGATCCAGATTCTCTGAGATTTTCTCTCAAAATCTCAAAATTATTTCCAAATGTTGAATTTCGGGCACACATTTTAACACCAGCAAATTAAAAAACACATCAAAAACGTAAAACAACTTCAATTTGTTGATTTTTTTCAATAAAATGAACACAAAAGTCACACCACTTGACGCTTCTTTTTTTTTTCTATTGTTGGCAGGTTGATTCAGTACACACTTTGATCCACCCCATTGAACAAATAAAAAATTTATAATAATTGAAAAAGTTTACTAATTTGAAAACAACAACCTAAAAAACGCACCAAAAACGTAAAACAACTCCAATTTATTTTTTTTTTCAATAAATAAATGACAACTTGACAACTTTTTTTTTCTATTGTTGGCAGGTTGATATAGTACCCACTTTGATCCACCTAATTAAACAAATAAAAAAAATTATAATTTAAATAAAGTTCAACAATTTAAAAAAAGTAACTTCAAAAACACATCAAAACATAAAACAACGTCTATTTGTATTTTTTAAATAAATAAACACAAATTTCAAACCATTTGACGTTTCTTTTTTTTTTCTATTGTTGACAGGTTGATACAGTATCCACTTTGATCCAGTTAATTAAACAAATTTAAAAAAGTTTAAAACTAGTATTGTGTTTAAGTTTAAATAGAATTAATTTAATAAATTTTAGCTTGAATTTCCCCCCATTTGGCAAAATTCCTGCGCTTGGGCAAACGGAGTTCGCCGATCGCGGCCGAAACGTGTATTGTGTTTCAATTTGTACGATTTAATTCCTAAATGGTGAAAAAATCGTTATAAAATCCAGTTGAGTTGTATTTTCCACACCCTGGGACCATGAAGACCGTAATTAAAATCGACTCGCAAGAGCAGAAAGTAAGTTTTTCGAAAATACTAAAGTGAGGTTATATCAACTTTGTTTATACCCAGGAAAACGTTAAAAACACACGAAAAACCCTCAGAGTGCTCCAACAGACAGCCACCGACAAGGAGAATCTGGCCGGGAGGATTCCCACCGAAAAAGACAAGTCAATGTAAGTAAAAACACCAAAAGTGTCGTTTTAACTTGAGCAATTCTAGTCTCCGACACAAACATCTGGAAGACAAGGGGGTACAAACTGGTGAGAGCACAGTCACTGCTGAAGATTTGACCTCGGAGGAGCCCAGTCCTGAGTACTGGAAGAGACTTGCAGAAAAGCGGGACCAACTCCTAAATGAGAGTTTCGAGGAGAATGAGCGGCTGAGACAGGCCGTTGAGGCCCTCCAGGAGGAAAACAAGATCTGTAAGGAGATGTTGGACGAGTCCAGGCTTCTAGTCGAAGTCCTGCAGGTAGTTTTTGCCCCATTTTGGTCATTTTCTCAATTCATTTTCACACAGGAAATGTTGAGCGATGCTGAGACAACTGAAGTCGCAGAAGAAGCGACTGAAGAAACAAATTAGAATTTGTCACTAGTTTTTAAGTTTAATAAATCTTTTCATATTAATAATGCGAGTTTTATTGACAAACCTACCCTATCGTAGTAGGCGGAATCAGGCAAGTGTCATTTTTTTTTGAAAAAGTAAAAATCACCAAATTTTGCATTTGAAGTGAAAATAATAATTTTTATTTGATAATTGAAAATGACTTCTTTTAACACAAGTGTGACCGAAAGTACACAAAACGTGTCACGAGGCGAATCCCCAGGCGTAAGTTTTGCAGTAAATCGATTTTACACAAGTTTCATCATTTTTTTTAGAATTCTCCATTCTCTTATTTTTTCACCGGAACCGTTGAACGTGTCTTAACGTGGAACAGAATGCTTAAACAACCTTGTTACTTTGAAGTCATCGGTAATTGCAATTAAATTTCACATCAATGCAAAATCGTTCATTTTTCAGCTTCAGTACTTTCGTTGCAAGAAGGCGCATTTGGCCAAAAAACCGTCCTCCTGAGGGACAAAAAGGGCCCCATTTTGCAAGTCGTCTACTATACGTGCTACGACATTGACGAAAGCCCGATAATTGTCGGTCAAATGTTGCGGTATTAAATTTAAATCGTTTGAATTGTGTTGTTATGAATTTTTACAGGTGCGTTGGCTACATGACCGGGATCAACACCTTAACTGCTGTTAGCATTAGAACAGCAACCCCCGATGAAGTTACCACCTTGAAACGCTACTGCTATATCGGCGATTTCACCATATCGGGGATAATCAACGGAGAAAACCATAATTAGTAATTATGTGAATAATTGGTTGCCTATGTGTCAGGCGTCTTAAAGAAAATACCTTGTACTGTCTTAGTTTTTTGATAGAATATGAATAATTGGTTGCCTCAACACTAGGTGTTTTTTCTTTAAATAAACGTGTTTTGTCTTTGATTTTTTTAATTTTATGACTAGGAGAATTATTAGAGAAAGCAATAATCGTAGTTTATTTAAAAAAAAACAACCAATTCCATAGTAGCAAATTTTATTAATTCAAATGGCAATGTCTCCTTGTAGCATCTGAGTAAAGTTGGTTGCCTATGCATTTAGAAATTAATTTTGTTAATCATTATTATGAGTGTAATTATATGAACACGCTGTTTCATCATCATACAAAAAAAAACAAGTTTTTTTAAGTGTTAGTAAAAAAAAGAAAAGATTTAAAACTCTAATCAAAATGACACAAATAAAATGCAAGTTATTTTAATGTTTAGATTAGATTAATAACGTTTAAACCAATTTAAGCGTATTATATCCTTGAACACTTCTTTCTTAAAAAATGGAGTTTAATAATTGTTGATTTGTTTAAATTATTGGTTGCCTATAAGACAGGTGCTTTCAAAAAAATAACGTGTTTTGTCTTTGATTTTTAATTTGACGACAAAGAAAATAATTTTTGGAGAAAACTATAATTAGTAATTGCTTTACATAAATGATAAATTGCTTATACGCCAGATAACATATAATGATTAATAATTTTGAATACTTAGTTGCCTATGTGCTGGGAGTTTTCTTGATTTTTTAATCATTCTAAAAAAATGTACTTTTTATTTACATTTTCAGTTTTCAACAGTAGAAAAAATTAAATAAAAATATCAAAAAATTATTACCTGCTCATTATTTAAGATTAGAAAAAGTATAGTATTATGCAACAACTTTCTAAGTTATTTTAATGTTTGGATTATATTAATAACGTTTAAACCAACTTAAGCGTATTAATCATTGCGTATTATCTCCTTGAACACTTCTTTTTTAAAAAATGGAATTTAATAATTATTAATTTGTGTAAATTATTGGTTGCCTATAGGACAGGTGCTTTCAAAAAAATAACGTCTTTTGTCTTTGATTTTTTAATTTGATGACAAAAAAATAATTTTTAGAGAAAACTATAATTAGTAATTGCTTTACATAAATAATAAATTGCTTATACGCCAGATAACATATAATAATTTTTTTTTGAATAATTAGTTGCCTATGTGCTAGGCGTTTTCTTGATTTTCTAATTTTGTGACAACCAATTTGACAAAAAGCTTCAAGATGCCATAATTATTGTGTCCAATATTTCAGTACATGCTTTTGACGTGATTTCCTGAAAACTAATGATTTTCAGACATTATGAAAACCTTGGTAAGGATAAAAGGAGTCGTCGGCAATTTACAGTGAGCCAAGAGTAAGTAATTTTGAAAATTGGGTCATTTTTAAGGCACTCAACAGTATCTACTATTTTAATTTTAATTGAAGTTTAATTAATTTAGGCTTTAAAGCCTCCTTCACAGGAAAATGAGATTTGCAACGTCATTAGATACAAGATAAATCACTTTTAAATGCTCTTGTTTGAATTCCAAGAGAAAATGGAACTTGAGATAAGGGAAACATGTGTTCTATTGTGTCCAATATCCGGCTTAAGAAGACCAGATTTTCAAGTATAACCCCTACTGTTTTCCCCTTATGAGCCATTTAGCCCAAATTTCACTTTGTTTACCATTAGAAAAACATTTGGGTTAATTTAACAATTGAGCCGATAAACCCACATTCAATATTGCCAATAAAATAATTGAACTACGAGTAGAGAAACGCAATCAAAAATTAAAAAAAAACAATAAAATAAAACAACCTATTGTTATTTTTCTCTGTGATATAATAAAGCCATAAATATCTCAAGTGAACGTCCCTCAGCTCTAAGAAATAAGAAATTTTTCCACAAGTGATAAATATTTTTTTCTTCTCTTGTTCCTGTTGCATGACCAGACATGTAAATCAATACCGCTGATAAAGTCCAACTGATAACATTTTGAGTTACGATTGTTGTGATAACCGACATGAGTTTGCAAAATTCGAAAAATTTAAACAAAAAAAGTGTTTAGTAAAATAGGGTCCCCCTTATTTTATCATTAAATCACACTTAAATTCGTGATTAATAAACCGTAAATAAATTAATTTCGTAATTGGTAAAAATGAAGCGTTTCAAGGACTTTGCAAAAGCGGTGTGACAGGAAGTTAAATTGCAAAATTCGTGTTGTTATTAAACAAACTTTCTCCGTTCTATGATAACTAATTTAAAATCTTGAAAATTGTGTTTATCTAAATTTAAAATACATTTGGATTGAATGAAAGTGCACTTGACGTTATCTCACCTCAAATTATTATCATTTTAATTTTAATTACGATCAAGAGCGGTAAGAACCTCAGTTTGTTGCCGGATTTGGCGAGGGAAAGTGTTGCGTCGTAAAATAATAAAAATTTGTGTGCGCTGTATTTCATTACCTCCCGATAACAATGATTATTTCGTAAGTTTTAAACACTACATTTTTTTTAATTATGTTAAAGAATTTGTACTTTTAAAAAATAGAGGGTGTTAAAAAAAGATTGTAAAATATTTAAGACGGTAATAGTATGGATTAAAATAAATAAAAAGTTTTCTGAAATATCGAATGTGAAAAAAGGTTCACTTTTTATTTTAACAAAGTGCAAATAAATGTTTCAAAAAACGAATAATTGTTGAATATTACCTTCTGAAATATTTTACATTCTTTTTTATGCAAAAAAATATTAGTCATTGTTTAAGATTAGAAAAAGTATAGTATTAAACTCGTAAAAATTGGCAATCTTTGGAGAAATGGCCAACTTCTCATTCATTGAATAATATACTATTTTTGCAGTTTCTGGAAAGCTTCAATCAAGTACCATTTTTTTATTTTGTTTTTTATTTTTTTAAAGGCTATATTGTTTTAATTGTACATTTCGGCGACAAACTGTACACCAATTTTTCTTAATGTATTTTTTTTTGTCCTTCAATTTTTTATTTCGTTTTTTTTATTATTGTTTTGGAAGTTTTCGTGCCACATGCCAATTTTATGACAGACAGTAGTGAAATTAGTCTCAATTTTTTAATCTTTGTTTTAATTTTTTTAATTTTTTTAAATTATAATTTTTTTAAACATAATTTCGGTACCGGTTTCATGTCAAACAATTCCAGAATCATACTCAATTTTTTTATTTATTTTATTTTATTTTGTTTTTATTTTTGTAATTATTTTTATTTTAAATACTCTTTCTTTCTAGTCGTGTTAAAGAATCTGCACTTTTCTCAACCGTTTTCACTCTTCAACTTTGGAAAAAATCTTTGTGGAAATGGCCAACTTTCTCACTAGTTGAATAATATACTATTTTTTCAGTTTTAGAAAATTATTTATTTATTTTCTTTTCTTTTATTTTCCATTTTTTTATTTTTTTAAAGCTATATTGTTTTGGTTGTACTTTGGTGGTACTTTTTTAAATTGTTTAATTATTTATTTTACTTTATTTTTTTAAATTATTATTTTGGTGTCGGTTTTATGTCAGCCACTCAGAATTATACTCAATCTTTTAATTTATTTTTATTGTATTTTTATTTTTTTATTATTTTTATTTTAAATATGTAGATATGTACTACTTTTTTTAATCATGCTAAAAAATGTATTTTTTTATCCGTTTTCAGTCTTCAACAGTAGAGAAAATTAAATAGTAATAATAAAAAAATATTACCTAGTCATTATTTAAGATTAGAAAGAGTATAGTATTAAACTCGTGAGAAATGTCCATTTTTATTCCAATGAAATACTCCACTCGCCCTCGGCTCGTGTTATAAATTTTTTGTGGAAATGGCCAACTTCTCATTCGTTGAATAATATACTATTTTTTTCAGTTTTAGAAAACTCGTAGTTAAGTACCTTGTCATCGCATTAACCTCAATCATAGTCAATTTTTTTTATTTGTTTTTTTTTATTTTTTTTACTTTTTTTTAAAGATATATTGTTTTGGTTGTACTTTTGGGGCCGGTTTCATGTCAGACAGTACTGAAATTATTCTCAATTTTTTTATTCATTTATTTTTTATTTTTTATATTTTTATTTCTTTTTAATTAAATATTTAATTTTTTATTTTATTTAATTTTTTTAAATTATTGTTTTGGTGGCGGTTTTACTACTACTACTTTTTTTAATCATACTAAAAAAATGTACTTTCTCATACGTTGACAGTCTTCAACAGTGGAGAAAATTAAATAGTAATAATAAAAAAATATTAAGATTAGAAAAAGTATAGTATTAAACTCGTGAGAAATGTCCATTTTTACTCCAATGAAATACTCGACTCACCCTCGGCTCGTGTTGTAATTTTTTTTGTGAAAATGGCCAACTTCTCATTCATTGAATAATATACTATTTGTAGAAAATCCGTAGTCAAGTATCTTGTCATCGTATTAACCACAATCATAATCAATTTTTTTATTGATTTATTTAATAGATAAAATTCTTTAAACATTTTTTTCATGTTCCTGGTATCTTACTTTACTTGAAAATTTTCTCTGGGGCTCGAGTTCTGGCGCATCCTGTATTTTTATATTTCTTAATTTTTTTTTAAAGGCTACCAACCAGAGTTATCCTCAATTTTTCATTTATTTTTTTATTTTTATTTTTTTTTATTATCGTGAAATGGCCAACTTCTTACTCGCCAAGTAATATACTATTTTTTTCAGTTTCAGAAAACCCATCGTATTAACCACAATCATAATGATTTTTTTTTTCTTGACTTATTTCATTTTCTTTTATATTTTTATATTTCTTTATTTTTTAAAGGCTACCTACCAGTTATCCTCAATTTTTTTATTTATTTTTTATTCTTAATTTTTTTATTATTGTGAAATGGCCAATTTCTCACTCGTTGAGTAATATACTATTTTTTCCGTTTTTTAGTCATTGTATTAACCACAATCGTAATCAATTTTTTTAATGATTTGTTTCTTTTTTTTTTTTTTTGTAAGTATTTTTTATTATTTTAAAAGCTATATTGTTTTGGTGCTGGGTTCATGTCGGCTAGTACCAGAGTTTTTTATTTTATTTTTTTATTATTGTGTTGCAAATGGCCAACTTCTCATTCGTTGATTAATATACTATTTTTTCCAGTTTCAGAAAACCCCTAGTCAAGTACCTCGTCATCGCCTTAACCACAACCATAATCCTCGCAATCCTCGGCACCATCATCTACTTCCTCGTCAACCCCTCCACCGTGTCCCCCAGCAGCCTCAAGGGGGCTGTCGTGACCAACGGCCATGCATGCGCCCACATCGGCGCCTCCATCCTCACGAAAGGGGGCACAGCAGTCGAGGCCGCAATCGCCGCCTTGTTCTGCGAAGGTGTCTCCATGCCCCAGAGCATGGGCCTAGGAGGGGGCTTCCTGATGACGATCTACGCAAGTGGGACTGCGTACTCGTTGAATGCCCGCGAGACAGCCCCCAGCGCCGCGACCAAAGACATGTTCAACGGGAGTAGCGCCTTGTCGACGAAAGGGGGCCTCGCGGTGGCAGTCCCCGGGGAGTTGAAGGGGTACTGGGAGGCGTACCAAAAGTTTGGGGGTAAGGTAAAATGGGGGGATTTGGTGCAACCCACAATAGATTTGTGCGAAAATGGGATTTTGGTGACGGAATATTTGGAGAAGTTGTATGCAACACAATTGGAGAAGTTCAAGTTGGACCCCTTAATGGCGTATGTGGGGGTATTTGGTACAGGGGTACCACTAATAGGGTTATTTTAGTGAGACTTTCATCGACCCCAAAACTAACCTAACTTATAGGAAAGGACAAGTGGTGAAAAGGCCCCAACTTGCAAAGACTTTGAAACAGGTTAAGGTTTTTGGGGCTGATGCTTTATATAATGGAATTTTGACGAAAAAATTCGTGGAGGATATCCGTAACAAAGGGGGGATTATCACCGAAGAGGATATGCACAACTACGAGTAAAAAATACTTCCCCACTTTGAATTTTTCCACAGATTTGAGTTTTCGTAGAGTTGAATGGCAGGAACCAATTCGTGTCAAAATGCCCAACAATAAGACCCTTTATACAGCCCCCTTGCCCGGCTCTGGGGTCATCCTCAGTTTCATTATGAATCTATTAAAGGATTTTTTGGATAATTTGCAACCTTTTTCCGTCACCAATTGGCAACGAATCATCGAAAGTTTCAAATTTGGGTATGGGAAAAGGACCGAGTTGGGGGATAGTAACTTTGTCGATGTCAGAAATTTGGTCTCGAATCTCACTTCTCCGGATTATGCGGCCAAAATCCGGGGGAAAATCCGTGATAATACCACGTCGCAGGACCCGACGTACTATGGGGGGAAGACTGTGCAACCTGATGACCATGGTACTGCCCATATTTGCGTTTTGGGACCCAATGGAGATGCAGTGTCCGTCACCAGTACCATCAATTTATAGTAATTTGACATTTTTTTTTACTTTTTTTTATTTTTGTGACGTGGCTATTATTTTTAAAAACTTGTTTTCGCCGATTTTATGTCTGACAATACAGTAATTATCTTTACTTATTTATTTATTTTTTCATTTTCTTTAATTTTTAATTTTTATTTTTTTTTTAATTATTGTTTGGGTTATAGTTTCGGTTCCCGTTTTACGTCAGATAGTCCCAGAGTTATTCTCAAATTTTTAATTTATTTTATTATTTTTTAAATTCTTTTATTTTTTTTATCTTATTTTTTTGTCGGTTTCATGTTAGATAATACCTGAGTTATTCTCAATTTTTTGTTTAATTTTCTAATTCTTTATTTTTATTTTGTTTTTTTTTTAAGTACTGTTTTCGTTGTAGTTTTGGTGCCGGTTTCACCGAAATTATCCTCAATTTTTATTTTTTTTATTTTTGTTTTTTATTAATTAATTTTTTTATCTGTTGTTTTGGTTGTAGTTTTGATGCCGGTTTCAAGTCACACGATACCAGAATTATCCTCATATTTTTGTTTATTTTTTTTCTCTTATTTTTTTTATTTTCTTTTTTTAACTATTGCTTTGGTTGTAATTGCTGTGACAAATTTATGTCAGACAGTACTGGACATTTTTTTATTTTTTATATTTTTTTTTATTTTTCTTATTTTTTTTTTAATTATTGCTTTGGTTATAGTTTTGGTGTCGATTTCATTTCTATTATCTTTACTTTTTTGTTTATTTTATTTTTTATATTTTTTTATTTTAGTTTTATTTTTTTAAACTATTGCTTAATGTCGATTTCGATGTCAAATAGAAAAATTATACTCAATTTTTTGTTTTTAATTATTTATTTTTTATTTTTGTTTTTTGACTATTGCTCTGGTTATAGTTTTGGTATCAGTTTCATGTCTAACAAAACCGGAATTATCTTTACTTTTTTATTTATTTCATTTTCTATAATTCATATTTTTTTTTGTTTTTTTGTAATTATTGTTTTGGTTCCAGTTTCATGTCAGATAATCCCAGAATTATCCTCAAATGTTTTTTTTATTCTTTAAAATTACTGATTTTTTCTTTTTTTATTTATTTTTTTAATCTTTTTATTTTATTATATTGTTTTATTTTTTCAAACTATTGTATTAGTACTTTCAGTGCCGGTTTCATGTCAGACAGTGTCGAAATTATCCTCAATTTTTATTTTTTTTAATTTTTCTCTTCTTTTATTATGTTTTACTTACTCCTATTTTTATTTTATTTTTTATTTATTTTTTTTAATTTTTTATTTTTATTTATTTTTTTTAAGATTATTGGTTGTAGTTTTGGTGGCAGTTTCATGTCAGACACTGTCAGAATTATCTCCAATTTTTTTATTTATTTTATTTTTTTTATTATTTTATTATTTTTATTTAATTTTTTTATCTACTATTTTGGTTGTAGTTTAGATGCCGGTTTCATTTCAGACAGTACCAGAATTATCCTCAATTATTTATTGATTTATTTTTTGTTTTTTTTTAATCCTTTACTAGCCTTAATTTCTTTTAGTTTTTTTTTGTTTTTTTTTAATTTTTATTTATTTTTCAAGATTATTGTTTTGGTTGTAGTTTTAGTGCCGATTTCATGTCAGACACTGTCAGAATTATCTCCAATTTTTTATTTATTTTTTATTTTTATTTTTTTAATATTTTTATTTAATTTTTTTATTTATTATTTTAGTTTTAATGCCGGTTTCATGTCAGACAGTACCAAAATTATCCTAATTTTTTATTTATTCAATTTTTTTAATCTTTTATTTTTACTATTACTTTAGTTGTAATTGCTGTCATACAGTACCAGAATATTTTTTTATTTCATTTTACTTTTTTTATTGGGACTATTGTTTTGGGACTGTATTTTGGTCAGATAGTACCAAAATTATCCTCATTTGTTTTATAATATAATATAATATTTTATAATATTGTTTTATTATTTGTTTAGTCCTTTGTTTCTTACGAATATTTCGTTTGTTTTGACCATGGTTTTATATACAGGGTGCGCCAGAACTCGCGCCCCAGAAAAAATTTTCAAGTAAGGTAAGATACCAGGAACATGAAAAAAATGTTTAAAAAATTCTATCTGTCAAAAAATTTTGACATTAATTTTTTAACATTTGACATTTTTTTATATCTATTTAATGATACTGATAATGTATATGTTTTTTTACAATTATTTAGTAAAGGGACAAAAATTTTGCCAATAAAAGGCACAAATAACATTGAACAGAGTTACAATTTAGAATACAGCTTCCTTGTTTCCTCTTTTAATAGCCTATAGCAAAAAAACTTGGAAAATTATTTTTCCAACAGAAATAAATAAAGTCAAAGTGCAAACTTTAAACCCTCATAACTTCGAAATTTTTATAGATAAATTTTTTTTAACATTTTTTCCATGTTCCTGGTATCTCACTTTATATGGTATTTTTCTCTGGGGCGCGAGTTCTGGCGCACCCTGTATATATCAAACAGTAAGAAAATTAGCCTGAATTTTTTAATTTTTTAATTTTATCTTATTTAGTTTTTTTTTTATTTTAATTTATTTTTTTAAGATTACTGTTTTAGTTGTCAGTCAGAATTATCCTCAATTTTTTTATTTACTTTTTTTTTAATTATTTCATTATTTACTATTATTTTGGTTGTAGTTTCGATGCCGGTTTCATGTCAGACAATATTAAAATAAATTATACTAAATTTTTGTTTTTACTTTTTTTTTAATCTTAATTTTTTTGTTTTTCTTTATTTATTTATTTCATTTTCTTGCGATTGTTTTTTTATTTTTTATGATTTTTTCTTTGTAGTTTCGGTGCCGGTTTCATGTCACCCAGCACCGGAATCATCCTCAACGACGAAATGGACGACTTTTCATCCCCCAACATGAACAACAGCTTCAACGTGCCCCCCTCGGAAGCCAATTACATAGTCCCAAATAAACGACCATTGTCGTCCATGGTACCATCAATCATAGTAGGGGATGAGGGGGTCGAGTTGGTAATAGGGGCCGCTGGGGGGACCAAAATCACCACATCTGTAGCCCAAGTAATTAACACTTTTTTCTAATTATTATTTAATCACAAAATCGGTTTTATCAGATCACTGTTAAAAACTTGTGGTTTGGGACTCCCATAGGGCAAGCAGTGCAAGAAAAACGGATTCACCATCAGTTATACCCGATGGAGGTTGAGTTCGAGAATGCGTTTAACAATGTGAGTGGGGGGGGAAGTCTATTTCAGCACCCAAATGACGTCATTTGAGTGCTTTAATAGAAAAAATAGTATATAGTATATAGCGGGATTTCAAATTTGTGCTTGAAAGATACCTTCTGCAACTTGTACTTTAATATACTATTTTCGAAGTTTTTTCCCTAATTTGGTTTCAGGATCGCGATTTAGTGAGGGCGTTGCACAAAATTGGGCATGAATACAGTATTGCAGGGCCGGGGTCAGGGTTTTCTGCAGTGACTGCGATTTCGAGGAAAGGGGGGGTTGTGGGGACCGCTAGTGATGTGCGAAGGACCGGTGAAGAGATTCTTGTTTGATAATGACGATAGTTAGGTATTTATTATGAAAATTTATTTATTTGCAAATAAAATTGATGATTTTTTAATTGGTTTTACTGTTTTCCCTGACAAAATAATACAAATTTTGATACACTGTAGATTTTCACTGAGTCATGTTTCCACAAGAATAACAACTTTTAACGTGACGTAAATGAGCATCATTGAATTAAAATGGTTATTGTACTATTGTTAAAAACCTCATAATTTTTTATCTTCTTACATAAAGGATTATTTAATCTTGTAAAAATAAAACTCATTTCATATTTTTTTCAAGGACTAAAAATAACTTTATTTAAAATTAACAGTCGGCTAAAAATTTAATCAAAATCATCTCCACTATCATTATTATCCAATAAAACAAGAGCAACTTTAAAATGTTTAAATAGCAAAAAAATGGACCACACTAAAAAAATCTCTAGACTTCTAATAAAACAAAAACAATATAAAAATTTTGGCCTACAAAAAACAGTTTGAGGACTGAAAAAAGAACACTTTTAAACGTAGGTACCTATTTTTAATTTGGAAAATATTAGAAATTGGTCTAAAATTATTCCAAAAATTTTTAAAAATCACACAAAAAAATTCTTTAAATTAAAAAAAATGTCAATATCGGAAGTTTTTAGGTGAAGAAGACTGAAAATCTACAAAATTACACCTTATTTACCCCAACAAAATTTAAAGATGTTAAGAAAAAACCGCAACGAAATATGAAAAAAAAAATTAAGGAAGAAAATTGTAAATTTAAACAAATGTCTGTATTTTTCAGAAAAATAGAAACTACAAAATAGTTATTAGATTTCAAAAAACAGTTTCTAAAAAAAACAACAAGAAACACTATTTTTTTTCATTCTCTAGGTTGCATAGATTTTAAGAAAGAAATTTTGCAAATTTAGTAAAATGTCAGTAAAAAATTTTCAAAATTCTAGACTGCACAAAAATCTCAATTTAAAAAATGTCTGGACTTTTCAAAAAAGAAAGCTGAGGTCTGAAAAATTATTCGATAAAACAAAAGCAACTTTAAAATGTTTAAAAAAAGACCACATTAAAAAATCTCTAGGCTTTCAATGAAACATAAATAAAATATAAAAAAAATAATTATAAAAAATCTTGGCTTGCAAAACAGTTGGAGAAGACTGAAAAGTAAAAAGAACACTTTTAATTTTCAAAAAATCAGAAATTTGATCAAAAATTTCTCTAATTCTCAAATTTGGTAAAATGATTTAAATATCACACTAAAAAATTCTTCAACTTGTAATAAAACGAAAAAAGAAAATTTTGAATTGAAACGAATGTCTGTTTTCTCAGAAAACTAAGAACTTTTTAAAATAGTTATTGGGTTTCAAAAAACAGTTTCAGAGACAAAAAAAACACAAGAAACACTGTTTTTTTTTAATTTTTGAATAAAATATTTATAAAAAAAATGATATATAAAAATTTTGGCCTGCAAAAAACAATTGGAGAAGACTGAAAACTGTCAAAGCAACAAATGGGTTTATTTCTTGTTAAAATACTAATATAGTCAATTTACAAAAAATGTAGTTACGTCTGAAGCAATATGTCCATTAAGTAGGGTTATATTAGTGCTAGTAGAGAAAAAAAATTATATATAAAAAATCTCTTCTCTACCTTGTGTTATAATATACTATTATTGGCAAAATGTTTGTACTTTTACTAAATAATTATAAACAGATCATCAGTATCATTATTAAATAGACATAAAAATGTTAGATGTCAAAAAATAAATGTCAATTTTTTTTGACAAACAGAATTTTTTAAGCATTTTTTATTAATTACTGTTAATTGCAATAGACAATAGAAAATACTAAAACAATTTAATTGCCACACTGGCTGACACGAACTAACCTCACTTTCGGTTTTTGTAATTTTTATCCTGATATCTAGTCAAAAATGACAACAAATCAAAATAATTTATTAAACTTATATAAAAACACGTATTGCTGGTATTGTTTCGGAAAATCGACACCAAATAGTATATTACATAACGAGCACGGAAAGTGATAAATGACGCACAAGCGGGAAAGTTGCGCACGAGGCGTATTTTTTTCATAACGATTTATTTTTTATAATGGATACAAAAGTACGTTGAATAACAATTTATTTTTTATAATGGCTACAAAAAAAAACGTTAAATAAAAAAAATCAAAACATTTGAGTGTGAATTGTGCGTTAGATTTCTATTGAGTCTGAAAAAAACTCATTTAAATAGGTATTCTTGGGAGCGTTATGCAGAAATTACATTTACTAAATTTAAAACAGAGAAAAAAAACACTTTTTCATTCTTAAAGGGTTATGACTTTTTGATATTCTTTGACAAATTGTCAAAAAAATACTTTAAAGTTGATAAACTTAGGGTGAACTTGTCCTCTTATCGTGTTATTTGATATGAAATTCCTTTTTTCCAATCTTTCTTAATCTCTAGATTTAATCGACTTAAGGGCTTTTACTTTAAAGTTTGTTAATGTTTAGAACAATTTGTGGAAAGATAGCGAGTAATTCTAGACCTGGCAACAAACTGGAAAAATTAAGTACTTCATACAGGGTGTTGAAAAAAGATTGTAAAATATTTCATGAGGTCGAAAATTATTCGTTTTTCGAAACATTTATTTGTAGTCTGTTCAAACAAAAAAAGTAAAAATTCTAAAAATTGTCACATTTGATTCCTTCAAAACCATTACTTTGTTTTCTTGAGACTTTTTTGTTTATTTTGGTTCTCCATAAATATTTTACAATTTTTTTAATACCCTCTACAGTCGGTTTCTCTTTTTTTTTAGAAAATAAATAGATTACAATGTGCAAAATTGTAGAACAAACAATACTATGTTTCTTAACTCGCCGCTACCTTTTTAATTAATTTTTTGATTTAAATTTTAAATGGGTACTACAGAATTTTATCACAAAATAAAATTGTTTTTAAAGTCAAATTTTAGATTTTATTGTTTGTTTTAAAGATACTTATCATTGTAGTTTGTAGTCTTCCATTTACACCAAAATTGTTTACAAAAAAAAACAGGATTCGAAATTAATCCCTCGAAATATCTCATTTATTTCTTCAAGGTTAAATGGATTAAACTTTAACTTAGCAATTGTTTTTTGAAATAAATAACACCTTGGAAATCTTCCAATCGATCTGAGATTAGTTATTCCTGATTTGGCAATAAATAAAAACAAATACAAACTTGCAATATTTATTAATTAAGCTACAGGGTGCGCCAGAACTCGCGCCCCACTAAAAAATGCCATGTAAGGTACCTTTACTAAATAATTATAAAAAACATATATACTTTTTCATATTAATGTGCATCAAGAAGGTTGTGGAAGTCCAAATGCATCTTTAATTTAAAGGCTGATTTACACACAAATTCAGAACAAATTTAATCACATCAATAATGACAAAAATTGTTGTTTGCTAATTGTGTTGTTAATTTTAATTATTTTTTGCCACCTAAAAATAATTTTTAGGGAAGTTTGAGGTTAGGATTGTTTGAATTTTTGCAAGGGTGCCACCTTAAAATGATCCCTTTCAGCAACTACTTAGCACATTAATTTGAAAACGAGTATACAAGATCATCATTATCATTAAATAAACATGTCAAATGTCAAAATTTTTTGACAGATACAATTTTTTCCATGTTCTTGGTATCTTATCTTATTTAAAATTTTTCTCTGGGGCGTTAATTCTGACACACTCTGTATAAAACTAGCACAAAACTAAACTTTTTCTTCTTTACTTTTCTTCCCCTCTGTATCATCATTCCAGTATTGTATTTCTCCAGAGGCGTAAAAAACATAAAAAATCGCCGATGCGACATACCAAGCCGCTGCAATAATAAAAACAACCCTCCAAAGGGCCTTATCGGCCTCATCATAGACCACAACTTGCACCACAAGGGGTGCAATAATCGAAAAAATGTTCGAAGAACCATTTGTGATCCCCATTAAAGTCCCTGCATGATTTGGGGCCAAATCAATGTGATTCACTTGAAAACCACAAAAAACAGCAGCATTGATACCAACCACGACGATTAAAAGGGCCACTGATAAGGTGGTTTGGTCCTCAGGGACGAAACTTAGCCCTACAAGGGCTAGGGCAGGCCCACAAGTACCTAAAACCCCATTTAGCAAATTTATTTTTTTTGATTTTTTTTACCAATTGCGTTAAAAATTTTCCTGACTGAACCTCGCGATAAGACTTTATGATTGATAAGGTAGTCTGAAATGGGCCCAAAAACGAAACTTAAAGCCCAAAGGGCTAGATAAGGGGCCGCTGATAGCAAACTATTCTACAACAAGTTTTAAAATTTGGTAATTTTATAATTAAAACGTACCGATTTCATGTCAAAATGCATAATTTTGTTCATATAGTTCGGGATTTCGGTTAGTAGAGTGGAATAGCCCCAGTTTTGCCCAAAATTGGCCACGATTATAGCCCACATGGGCCACGACGTGAAAATAGCCTTCCATGGCGTGGGTACCACTTTATGTTCCTGTTGCCCTAGCGTCCCCTCAATGTAGTGTTTCTCCTCCTGTGAAATCCCCCCATGCTCAGCTGGGCTATTTGAGCCCAGAAACACCCACAAGCCCACCCAAGCTAGCCCAAAACACCCAAAAACGTAGAAACTGACCGGCCAGCCCACCCAACTGGCCGAAATTAGCCCAGTTATGGGCATGGCAATGATGGTACCAAACGACGAACCAGAATAGACGAAGGTACCAATTCGGGAGCGTTCCGGCGTCGGTGCCCATTTCCCTAAAATGTTGTGAACCGACGGAAAAATGAACCCTTGGAATAGCCCTTGTACCACGCGACAGCCCATCACGCCCTTCGAGCCCAGCTTGTCCGCCACGATGGGTGTCAGCACACAAACGATGGAATTTATGGTCATGGCCACGACCAGGAACCATCGTGGGCCGTAGGTTTTGCCAAATTGCCCAGCGAAGACTTGGAGGACGACGTAGCCCCAGAAAAAGGACGAAAGGACGACGCTTTTGTCCTCCCAGTCGTAAGTCTGGAAGGTTTGATCATGTCAGTGTTGCCAACACAAAATAATAAAATTCACTAGATCTGTGCTGAAAAGTTACCAGATTTAACGTAATAGACTAGTTCTATGATTTTTAGCTAGTTTTTAATTAAATTATGGGGTATACCGGCAATTGGCAACACTGAATTAGTGGTTTGTTATATCAAAATGTTTCAGGTGACGTCTAAATAAAAGTTTGACGTTTGAATTTGAAAGTCAAGGTTGCCAATTTAAATTTTAAAAATTTGACACCAAATCATTTACAGTCACCCGATATTTACGTTTTTACTTGAAAAACATGCTAAAACACTTGATAAAGACCAAAATAATGACTTAATTTGATGTTTTTTTGATTTGTTTTAGCAAAATCTTGCAACTAATACCATTTTGTTGTTAAAATTTGTTTTTAGGTTAAAAACGTTCTTAGTCATTCGAAAAAGACAAAAATAATACTATTTTTAAACTAATTTTAAAAAATTTCAGCTGAAAAATGTCCTAAAACACTCGAAAAAAGTAAAAATTATTTGATTTTTTTGTTTAATGCTGTATTTTTTTGGTTTGTTTTAGAAAAATCTTACAAAAAACGTAAGATTTTAGTTAGAAACGCGTTTACAAGTTTAAAAAAAGTAGTTTCCGATCAAATTTTCCGATTTTTCTGCTTATTTTTGATTACTTTTTACTGAAAAACTAGTTAAATTAAGTAAAACAAGGAAAATACCATGAATTTTGATTTGTTTTTCGGATTTTTAGGCATGTTTTCACAAGTTCTTGCAAAATAAATTGTTAGTTTTAGAGCCAATTATAGAACAAAATTTCAGAAAAATTGTTTTCATTTCATTTTTATTAAACTTTCTGTTTGTTCTTAAAGAATTTTGCGAAATAATTGTGTTTCTGGCCGAAAAACGTGTTGAAACGCTCAAGAATAAAAAAAATATTATAATTTTGGAATTAATTTGGTAATTTTTTGATTTGTTTTAGTATAATAATGCAAAAAAATGAGGCTTTACTATAAAAACATGCTTGAGAAAGTTATAAATAACACAATTTTTGACCAATCTTTAGTTTTTTTTTTTGATTAATTTTTTTGTGTTTTTAACGAAATTTTGCAAAATAGTTCTGTTTCTGGCTAAAAACGTACTAAAACACTAAAAAATGGACAAAGTAATGTATCTTTTTTGACCCGTTTTAGCAATTTTTTACCTTCTTGAGTGAAATATCATTTAGAAAAACAAAAATATCTCCCGACTTTTCAACTAATTTTTGATAAAATTTAGCATTTGAGTTTTTACATGGCTAAAAAAACGTGCAAAATGCTCAAAAAATAATAGTATCATCATTTTTGACCGAATTTACTATATCAATGAATAATTAAAAAATTAAATTAAAAAAATTAATTTTACTAACATTTGGGCGAATACTCGAAAAAAATAATTCAAAACACATTACTTTTCTGATGGAACTACAGTCACGTTTCTAAAAAATCATTAGAAATTAGAATTTTTATAAAAGTTTTCCCAAATCATTAAACTTGTATAAAAATCACCAGATCTAGTGTAATTTCACCAGATTTTGCAGTTTTTGGCAGAGTTGCCAGATGCAGAGAATATTCCCTACATCTAGGGAATTTTATAATGTTCTACAACAAAATGGAATTTATGTGTAAATCTAGGGAAACATTTTTGAGTAAATTTAACTTTGAAAATATTGTTTATAATTAACAAAATAATTTTTAGTGGTTTACTTTTTGTACTGTTTATTAGTAGTTGGCAATAGACTGCCATCTATTGTGAAATGAAAAATATAACAGGTCATAAATACACCTCAAAGCAGTTTTATTACAATCTGAAGCACAATTACGGAAATCTAGGAAATTTTTTGTCCAAGATTTAGGGACATTTGAAAATAACATCTGGCAACGCTGTTTTTGGGTTGGGGGACTTACAGGAATGTCGGGGTTTGAAGTTGTGCTATTGTCTGTCATTGCAACAATTGCAACTGAAAGGTTGACTCTCATGGCGTAGGCGATGGCCAAGAGGAGGAAACAAAGGAGGACTTGAGTGTGGCGGGAGCCATACCAACCAGCTAGAAAAAAAATTTTTTCGTTGCATATTTTGTAAACAAATCTCGATTTCAAGGTCACGAGATAACATTCTTGGCATTGTAGATCAATCAGATGGTGATAGATATCCAATTATCACATTTTTGTAGTCTAGATATTATTTTTTCCGGTGTTACCAACATTTGTTTAAAAAAAACGACAAAAACAGTTTAATGTTGAAGTTGTAAGTGTTTAATATTTTAATCATTTTATAATAAAAAAATCCGAGGAAAGTTTGTGGAAAGTTTTCTCTTTTCACAGATAAAAAACACGACAAAAATGTGACAAACCTGGGGCTTTAAATTCCTCATTTTGGGCCAATTTTTGGTCAGTTGACATCTTATTTTTGTTATTCTGTAAACACTGATACGGATTCGATGGTCACAACACACTGATTTCTCGCTTGTTAGCGATAATTTATAAATAAAAAACGAAAGAAATGGAAAAATTCATAATAGAGTCACTTCAAATCGAGTACCTATTGTCAGTTAATTTATCAAAACGGGATTTTCTTAACTATTTGAATCGAAACCGGTAAAAGGTAGTGTGTTTTTTCTCAAAAAAAGAATAATAGTCATTAATTATCAGTCAATTTTACTGTTTTTATCATCCAAAGTGTTACGTATTACAGACCAACGTCAAAAAAATGAAAATCTAATTTAGTTACCACATTTTTACATTATAAAAAATGCACGTGTATAATGTGTTGCCTATACATAATATTACAATAATAAAAATCTGATTTAAAAAATAATAAGCAAACTATATAAAAAAAAATGTTAAAAAATAAAAAAACAATTTAACAGAATAAATTACAAAGCATAAAATCTAAATTAAAAGTCACTTCTTACACTATTAAAATTTTGCGTGTATATTGTGTTGCCTATAATAAAATTTTCTACTAAATACGTAATTGAAGTAATAAACGCGTTATTTCGCCACGCGTATAAATAATTTTTTTAGCCCTGATAACTTTTGACTTCTATAATCTATGTATCCATTAATTGGCGTTTTATTTTGCAAAAAATATGAAACCGAACACAAAAATGCGGAACCCGAAACATGTTTGCATTTATTTCAAATTGCTGATTAGAAGGTTTGTTATTTTATCCGGTTGTGTAACGACTTCATTTCACCAACAAACGTAAGCAAATATTGGACAAAATGCTACTTTTAACATTTCTGCTTCACTAAAATGAGGACACTTATCAAAAATTATCAATTATTTGACTATAAGTTCAAGAGTTCGTTTGTGTTTACACAATTTGAGCAAATGAGAGTCGTGAACGTTATCACACCAGGATATAAAAGGGAAAACCACGAGAAAACTCTCAGTGTGTATAAAATTCAAGCATGCACAAGGCGCCATTTTTTGAACTCGGAAACGGCCGCCAATCTACAATAAACAAAAGCACTGGATTTTAATTTAGACAATTTAAACAAAAACAACCGGTTGCGCTAAAACACCGGTATGCAACCCAAATAGAGATGATTTTAAAGTAAATTACAAAGAATTATGCTACTGTGCCTTGCCAAAAGGGCAAAAAGTGCTCAAGTGTGTAGTTGCAAAAATTATCAAGTTGTCCACTGACACCTGAGTTTTCATTTGTTTTTTGTTTTTCAATTCAAGTTTGTCAGTATAAAAAACGACTCAATTGCGAGATATTTCACCAGGTACGTGCAATATTCTGATATTTTTCATTTATTTATCAACATTTGGTACGCCTAAATTAATTATTGCTGGGTTTTGGGGGTGGTTAAGTCGTTTTTTTTGTAAGGTTAGAAACTGGGGGCTGTCTCAGTTGTCCAAGGTTTCAAATCAAATAATCTAACTCGCAATTATCGTATTTTTGCATTCGGTGCAGTTTCAGTCTTTGATAAAATTTGCAAACGTAATCTAGTTTCAAGTTTGCAGTTCTTCGAATTGAATAATGCGCTTTGGTGGCTTTTTCGCCACAGTACGATTTCTTAGAAAGCCCAACCGGTTTTAAATAGGGTGGTTCTGAGAATTTGCAATCCGCTTTCCCCTCTACCACCCGTTTGTGAAGTTTTGTGAGCTTTAAAGTCACCTTGGAGTCTCATAAAATCAGTTGACGCCTGTTCTCACCACGTGTCTAGACTTGACTCTTCCTCGAAGGTAAGTGAAATATTTTACTCTGTAAGACTCAACAAGACTCTAACTATTACATAAAGTTTTCAGGAAGAACAACAAATGAAGAAAGAACTCATCTAATGGGAATAATCACAAAGCAGCCCGTTTTTTACTGTTATTTTTATTAACTCTTTATTTAGGTCTGGTGAGGTCAGCTTTTCGATTTGGTAAGCACATTGACGAAATACTATAACTGTTAAGACTGGAAATATGTCTTTGAGAAGCGACCTCTAATTCTATTACCGAAAATATATCCGGCGTGAACAATAAGTATGGAACCTTCAAAAATAATAATTCATAAAAAATGCGATCGTGTTTTTGATAAAAATTGAATAAAATGTGGATATGTAGTTGTAAGCCTTTGCAAAAAAAAGATTTTATAATGATTGCCATTTGTTTTGATAACATTCAAAACGTCACTTTTTTATAGTACTTTATCATTCATTGTTTTTTTCAAAAAAAAATTTTAAGCGAAAACGTTTGGTTCCATACCTTTTGTTCACTTGGTATATGGGTCAACGGTTCATTCAAGTTGTGTAAAATGGAACACTGGAATTGATAAGAAAATTAAATACACTTTGTGATAATCACATGGAGTTATTTCATGGTTTAACACTACCGAATATGATTTTTGTGTGTAGCATTTTACAAAAGTAATTATTTTTATTTTTTACCGCTTCATTACTATTGTATTTAAGATTGTTAGGAAATGGAAGTCAACAGTAATACAACGTCTAATGAGCAGATATTAAATAAAAATATAATTTCTTGTGATTTAAAAAAAATGAGCCTTTTAGAAAATGAAGAGAAATACTTTACTTGATGGGGAAGAATTGTGTCAGAATTTCAAGATAAAAACATCAATCTTGATGTTTACAAAAATAAAAAAAATAGTTTGACCACTGAAGCATTTATAAAAAAAATCCAATGTCAACAATTTAGTGTCTGTTTTCTAAAGAAGTATTTTCAATTGAGTTGTTTTATAACGTTTATTTCTATTGAAACACGTTTATAGTCAAATACACATAAGTAAAAATAAACTATACAACATATTTTCCATTTGCAATATAATTCATTTAAAATTCAAGTTTATTATAGTAACTAGAAAAAAACACTTTATTTAATTATGTCTACCTGGACACCAGGGTGAGGCTCATTTTCAACCCACCCCGATAACATTCATCAAGTAATCTCATTTGTGTGGGAGAAAGCGATAATTAACTTTTAGAGTAAGGGTAATAAACAAATGTGCTTTTTTCCACAATATCTACGGTAGAAAAAAAAATGAACATTTTACATGTTTTGTCAAAAAATCGTCTCTTTCATTTTATTTCCCACGCAGTTTTGCTGTAATCTGAAACCCAATATGCTGAAAACCGTAAAATCACCCATGATGGTGCCCTTTTAGTCTTGAGACCCATCTGTGTCAGTGACATTTTCAAGAAGTGGAGATTTATGTGACTGTAAAACTAATCTGTTTTTAGTTGAATGCAAATCGAGCACCAACAAAATTTTGTACAAACATTTTTTTCTTTCATTTATGTAAATGTAAAAAAGGATTTTTCCACCCAACCCAATTGACTGATAATCTGGTACTTTATTCCCTTGGGAGTAATATAAAAGAAGTAGCGATTTTTTCACCGATTTAATTATAAATTCCTTGCAATGGGTGTTCCGGAATGCTCTTTCTAAGTGGTTACCTACCTATTTTGCAAGGGTTGTAAATTTTATAGTTTTATTCCCTATTTTAGTATTGGCGACATCCTGTTGTAAAATAAGTGGTACAAACTATTTTCTCAGCATCTGGTTGCTGAGTTTCAAACAGACGAAAAATTCTTGTTTTATTTAAATTGTCATCATTATGTTTAATTTATTTTTATAAATAAATAGTATATTATTCAACGAGCTTAGAATGATGGCTATTATTCACAAAGAAAAGTTTAAAAAACGAGTCGTAGACGAGTAAAATACTAATCTTTATCTACAACTATGAAATATTTTCGATTTTTGGTATTGACAAGTTTTAATTTAATTAATAAAAATTTCAAATTGCGTTCAAATAAGCAATACCTGGGAGAATCGTGGAGTGTAATATGAACTACATAATAATAAAAGGTATTAGGTATTATCAAAAGTCTCAATTTGTTTTACGAAAATACATACATGAATCGTGTAAAATATCTATTATTAAAAGTTAAACTTTCCGAGGTCTAATTATAAATTAACGGAACTTATTCGATTTATTACCATTAACTTAAGTATGAAATGTAAAACCACATTATTTAGTTTCAGATTTTCACAATTCATTTAAATCGTAAAGTCTGTTAAAGGAAGTTGGCAGTTACGGTTTTTTGAATTAATTTGAAAACAATGTCATAAAACACAACACAAAAAATCGTCTAAAAAATTTATAAAATGCGTCAACTTTGAGTTCATTTTAATAAATTACACAAAATTTTGACAACATTTCAATTTGAACACAACCATAATTTTTTAACAAAATTTCTAAGAACAAAAACAAAGAGCAAACAAAATTGTGGCAATGGAGACAAGCTGCTACCAATTTTTTCACCAAATTTTTGACTTGCTAATTTCCATTTAAAGAAAAAACAGACTTTATTTGATAGCAAAATATGTAGTGTAATGAGTATAAAAAGTTTAGTTGGACGCAATATGTCATTTTTTAATAATTAAATTGAAACGTATATTTCTTCATTATCATCAGGTGATTACAAAACTCGCCCATGTCTCGTTTAGTGTTTACTATGATGTTTATCTTCGTGAACGAATGGTTTAATTATTGATTTATAATATCAATTAACGGTAATTTTTAGTATGCATTAAGAAAATTGGAAGACTAAACAAAAATCCACTGCGTCTTTTCATAATTTCTATAAATAGAGCAAGAGTTAAAGTCGACTATTTCTGGCATCGTGTGTTGATTTTTTATTTTTATTGTATAAAAAGTTGAGGCTCAAAATTGCAAAAAATCGGTAATTTTGCATTTTTTTTTTCATAGTTAAACAGGAAAGGTGTGAAATTGCATTATATTTTTTCTAATTTTCAGATTTTTCGCCTCAATCAGCACCGCTATGTAAACTAAAAGATGACGAAGTGGGAAACGCATTGTAGCACTGATTCCACCGATTACACAGTGTTAAATTTCAAAGGAAGTTCAATAAAACTGGCCAAGGTAGGTACATATTGTAAAACATCTCAAACTGTATTAAAATGGTAAAATACCCCTCGCCACTACCATCATCACATTTGTCGACCTTGAAACCACGTGCGTTTGTTTTTATTTCGATCGGAGCTTTTCGTTTCAGTTTCGGCCTTAGAAGTAAGCTCCGATTGGTCGTTTCGGATTTCCGATCGTCTTTGTTACTTTGTTTTGTTGTTTTCACTCAGTTCACTTTTCAGTGCCTTCGGTGCAGGACACTAGTGTGTGGTTTTTAGTGATAAACTTTTAGCGCGCGAAAATGACAACAAACAAGATCATGAATCATCTATCAGAAGAGGTTTGTAGTTTTTTTAAAAGAAAACTTGCTATTATAAAACTAAACTTAATTGAAAAAAACACTATTTTATAGAAAAAATAATGTATGTTGTTTATTGAATGGTGAGAAATTACAAGACGCTTTGATAAAACCGTCTCGTATCGTCAGTTGGCTTCTTACCATCTTAATAAAACTACTGATAAAATGCACAATTTCCGGTAGATTATACCGTGGGATCAAAAAAAATTAAATAAATTAGAGTAGGAGTCGATTAAATTCTACAGTTGGAATGACCATTCACCGTTTTCGTCTTGTACAACAATAAAGTGAACATAATTTCACGCAAAAATCAGGATTGCCATCTGAAGGACTTTAATCACCGTCTACTCTAGTTAATCAACTTTTCAATACAAATCGTAATATTTTTGATTTAGAGAATAAAATCTCAAGTGTTTTTATCTCGTAACACAAAAGATAAGTGAATAAGACTCCACCCATAAAAACGATTTGGGAAGTGGTGTGCACGTGTTGGATTGTGTGTCGGCAATTTTATAGTTTTCTTGTGAAAAATGGGTCCTTCAAATCGTGTTTTTCTAAAGGGGTATTATGTTGACACTAGTTTGGTGAGATTTCATAATAAAATCGATTATTTTTTTCTGAAATCGTTAAAAGAAACATTATAATTTTTTTTATTTAATATTTGTTTTAATATTTTCGTTTTTTGTGCTTTATTTTAGTTTTTTACCTTATTTACCAGTGTGTGTCTCGAAACACATGTGATAAAATTATTTGCATTTGTCTTTGAAATGTCGTCATTTGATATTGATAAGTATAGATAAAATTGCGGAAACTATTCTTTCTATAAATATTTTATTATGTAGCTGTTTCAAGAAAAATTGCACAATTGTTGTAATATTTGCATCAAATCAGTGACAACACCCAACATTTCGTATCAGAAAAGAATTATTAAATAAAATTTACTTCCCATAATGGGTTCATTATTAGTTTTTTTTACAACTTTTTTAAAACAAAAATAGGTAGTTACTGATAAGAGGCAATGAATAATTAATTCGCAGTAAAACACCAATCTAATTCAACAGTAATGTGTAGTTAGTGTTTCATTAATTTCCCATTTGATGTTGTATATTGTCACAGTTGTAGAAACTTTATTAAAAATATTGTAGGTATTTGTTCTCTTCAGTTTCAGTTTTCAGTAGTGCTTTTATAAAAATTCCATTATTCAGTCACATCGAATTGTTGCAATAGAAATGAACTGGCAAAATTTATTTTAGGGTTCAAAAATGTGTAGTTATAAAGTGTGTTCAGCAATCATTTCGATTTTGTGCGATGTGAAATGATCAGTGTTTAATTAATTTTTGCACAGTAAAAAAAAATTAATAAGTAAAACACGCACCGTATTTTGATCAATTTGTTCAGTAAAAATAACAAATAACTCAATATTGATCAGTATAAAATGATAAATGATCAGTATTTAATTAATTTTTGCACAGTAAAAAAATTAATGCTAAATAAAGCACGCACAGTATTGTAATTTACTCAGTAAAAAAAATCCAGTTTGCACAGTAAAAAGAATAAACGCTCAGTAACTTTAAGCAAAACTGTGCACAAATGGTAATAATCACATTCTTTCGTTTTCTTTACTGTGCATTTATTATTTTTACTGTGCATTTATTACTTTTACTGTGCATTTATTATTTTACTGTGCATTTATTATTTTTACTGTGCATTTTTTAGTTTACTGCGCATTTATTATTTTTACTGTGCATTTATTATTATTACTGATCAAAAATACGTGACATTTTAAATAATATACTTTGCATTTAAT